GACTCTTGGGAAAGAGGAAGGAAGGAGAGAGCATGCTGAGGAAGCTCTCTTTTTAGAAGCCTTTCTAGGCAGCGGTGAGGCGGTTCTTTTCTCGGCCAAGCCCTCTTGTGACTGGTAGGGATGTTGTTCCTCCAAAGGCTGCATGGCTCTTTTGAGTAAAATCATTCTGAGATGGAGCTCTTGCCGTCAAGCTGCAGCAGTGTTTGCATTTTTGCGGGATATGGACTTCTCCCACAAGAGCGGGTGGGTGGGTAGGGGTATGTGTGTGTGTCTAAGACTGAGCGATGATCTACCAGAGACTGCAGCTTGTTTTCTTTTTCTCCTTTTTTCAAGCTCTATTAGGGCAAAAGAGCTTGGGCTACCCCTGGGGAAGGAATTCAAGTGTTCCTTTCTGGGTTTTTTTAGGGTTTAAATCACTTAATTTGTTTCTCTCAGAGCCAGTTTATCTGTGACTCTGGGAAGTTTTTGTAAACAGGGCTTATTGAGGCAAAGTATTTAAGGTCTCTTGTGGGCTCCCATCTTCTGCACTCCGAGTGCCAGAGTGGGAAACAGCCCTGACACCATCATCTAAAAGATTGTTGATGGCCAATGGTCTTCAGTTCTAAGTCTACTAGCTCGGGGCCTCAATCTTCTGTCACTTACCCTCATGAAAATCAGACACAAATCCACTGAATTATGCCAATATAAATATGGTGACAGAGGAGCATTAGGTTCTTAAGAAGCAAGTGAGATTCAAACCCAGCTAGCATTAACATGTAATATATACAATGCTAAGAATAAATTAATTTCCAGGCTAGTCCATTCCAGGACAACATCAATCAGAGTTGATTTTTCACATTTGAATGAGTAGGGTTTATATAATGAATATGAAAACCAAACTTTCATAATTCAACTGTAGCACAATAGTCACCTAACATGCATTACACCACAACCCGCTAGATGAGGTAGCTAATTTCTTCATTCCACCAAGTGCTCCCTGTCATCTGGATTTCAGTCAGTATCTGCAGTAACCTGAACCAGCATTCATGTTGGAGCTAAGCATAGGCTCTTGGACAGCATATGGAATAAGTATTTGTCATTATGACAAAGCTCCAACAATACCTTTTAAAAAAGAGGGATGTTTTGTCATTCCATTACACACGCATACAAACACACTCCATCTCTAGTGAGTTCTTTCCCTCTTACTCATAGTATATCTAGCTGGCAAACAAAAGTTCTGTACCTGCTTGGAACTTTCATCTAAGTTCTTCTAGTACTCCTGAAATGCAGAAACTAACACAGAACAGTAGTTTTGCTTTAGTAAGAAAGCCTTTGTCTAAACCTACCATCCACTACCACAAAGCAATTATGCAAATAAACCTAAAAGGAGTCTGAGTACTCTAGTCATCTCCTCTCACCTTATGGAAAATGTATACACGGCAATCATATTTTAGTACTGTGGGGGAGCCTGGACTACCCTGCCTTGGTAATAAATGGTGACTCTGCCTTATCCAAAGTGTGGATTTCTGGCCTGTTTCAAGTCCAGTGCACTAAAGCGCGCAGGCAGGGCCAGAGTGTCAGGAACTGTTTTGCATAACAATGCAGATGAAGCCTGGTACGCGAGACCACGTCAAGAACACAGGACAAGTGGCTTGTGCTGGTATTTGTTTCTGATAAGCAAAAAGTACAGATGCAGCCATAAAACTGTCAACTACACCCTGCTGCTCAGGATGTTGCTGCTAATTATGTACCCCAAATAGGGATACTAGGCATTTTACATAACCTACACACTACGTAATCAATTGGTAAATATTACTGGAACGACCAAGTCTCGCTTAGCTATAAATTGGGCTTAGTAAGAACAACTGATGGGAGGGAAGGGTTAGGATTGACCCACACGTCCTGCTCTATGTAACTAGAAGTAATTAGACCCCTCACACCGGCGGCCCAGTGCATGGCGTTCCAATGGGTGGGAAGAAACGGAACCACGACCTCCTGTCTGGCACTGAGGGTAGCATATGGGTGAAGTGTAAGTGAATTAGGCTTTATTATTGTATATAGTAGATCTTATAGTAATTTCTTTTTCATTGCTTTGTGGTGTATTAATTGCTTTAGAATTTATAGTATTTAAGGTTTAAATTGTATAGTAATTGCTCTTAAGGCTTGTAAAACTTAAACAAGTGTATTAAGTGTATTGCTTAAAGCTTGCAATAAATCAGACCGTGGTTAAGTAGCCCTGGTGTGTCCTGGTTTCCCATGGATCTAAAATAAATCAAACCACACAATATAATGGAAAACGGAAACTTAAATTTAATCGGTAATCTGATTATCTCCCCTTCTACACTACTGCCAACATATCTAAGGAGAAATGGCAATTATGCCCTGACTACACCTATTTTGTTAGTACTATCCATGGCTAACACATTTTAAAGGTAAAATTTCCTTTTTAAAAACATTAAATTTGAAATCAGCAATTTGAAAATTATTCATAAAACAGTATTGATCAAATATATTCAGCAACACTTCCTACTCTGAAAGATGAATAGTGGAGAATTTTTTAAACACCTGTGTGTCCATTTTACTCTTTGGATTTTGACAAGAGAAAGTGAGATTTCCTGTTCTTCAGAGAGTTCCCATACAAAAAACACAAGTAAAAACAAATGCTGCAGCTTTGACTTTTCAACCAACAGCCATCTCCATGAATATTTGGTAGAATGCGTAGCCTTCAGACAGCCTTCTCCAACTCATCTAGAGCAGTGGTTCCCAACCTTATTATGCTGTGGGCCAGCAAACTCATTCAGAAACTTTTGGTGGACTGGCACTGAAACATCTGCATATTCATTATTGTAGTTAAAACAAAAAACAGGACTGTGTAGCACTTTAAAGACTAAGAAGATGGTTTAATAGGTGATGAGCTTTCGTGGGCCAGACCCACTTCCTCAGATCAAATAGTGGAAGAAAATGGTCACAACCATATATACCAAAGGATACAATTAAAAAAATGAACACATATGAAAAGGACAAATCAAATTTCAGAACAGAAGGAGGATGGGGGGGGACGGGGGACGGACACTTTTGGCACGATTGCATAAATTATATTTCTGGATACACAGGAATATGTGTTCTTGATCTTATAACTCACTTGGTTGGGTCCAATAATGGTATCAGCAGAGTGAATATGTGGACAAAGCTGGCAACGGGGTTTGTTGCAAGGGAAGGTACCAGGGTTGGTATTAGTGTGGTATGTCCTGTGGTTGTTGGTAAGAATCATCTTGAGGTTAGGTGGTTGTCTATAGGAGACTATGGGTCTGTCTCCCAGAGCCTCTTTGAGTATGGTATCCTGTTCCAGTATAGGCTGTAGTTTATTGATAATGCGTTGGACAGGTTTAAGTTGGGGGCTGTAGGTGATGACAAGTGGTGTTCTGTTGTTGGTTTTCTTGGGTCTGTCTTGAAGTAGATAGTTTCTAGGTATTCGTCTGGCTCTTTCAATTTGCTTTTTTATTTCTCTGGGTGGGTAGTTGAGGTTTATAAAAGCTTGGTAGAGATCCTGAAGCTTCTGGTCTCTGTCAGTGGGATTAGAGCAGATGCGGTTGTATCGAAGGGCTTGGCTATAGATGATGGATCGTATGGCGTGTTCTGGATGGGAGCTGGAAGCATGTAAGTAACTGTATGAGTCAGTGGGTTTTCTGTAGAGAGTGGTGTCTAATTTTCCATTGCTGATTTGTATTGTCATGTCCAGGAAATGGATCTCTCGTGTAGAATGGTCCAGGCTGAGGTTAATGGTGGGGTGTAGGTTGTTAAAATCTCTGTGGAATGTCTCCAGTGTTTCTTGGCCATGTGTCCAGATCATAAAGATGTCATCAATGTAACGTAAGTAGAGAAGGGGTAAAAGAGGACGGGAGTTGAGGAAACATTGTTCTAGGTCAGCCATAAAGATATTAGCATACTGTGGGGCCATGCGTGTACCCATGGCTGTGCCGCTGATCTGGAGGTATAAGTTGTTCTCAAACTTCTGTTCTGAAATTTGATTTGTCCTTTTCATGTGTGTTAATTTTTTTAATTGTATCCTTTGATATACATGGTTGTGACTATTTTCTTCCACTATTTGATCCGAGGAAGTGGGTCTGGCCCACGAAAGCTCATCATCTAATAAACCATCTTGTTAGTCTTTAAAGTGCTACCCAGTCCTGTTTTTTGTTTCAGCTGCACCAGACTAACACGGCTACATTTCTACCACTATTATTGTAGTTAATTTGCATATTGATGGTGGTAATTAATTTTAGGCAGTCATGTGTTATTTTACATTACATCTGTATGCACACAATACATGTAATGTATTGGCCTTAACCTATGTGCTGATTCCTATGCACTTAATAATGTAGTTTAGTTTTTTAAAATCTAAGCTAATATTGATTATTTTTTCCCCATAGTTTTATCTGTGAATGCAGAGTTACACAGTAGGAAAGCCGGGCACTAGTGAAGTATCCCTTCCCCAAATAATGTGGGGTCTAAAGGCATAAAAACATATAGTGTGGAAGATCAAAATCATACATTGCGAAACAGATGGCATGCTTTTTTGCAGAACAGTTCTGGTTTTCACTAATTTGTGGAGAAGCCTCATTTTTATAATAGCGATCCAAACACTTCTGCTAGAACAGAAATATTCCTCCAGCTGGAATACTAATCAATACACAAACTACTGAAGATTCTTTGAGCTTCTTCTAAGAGCTGCATGTGAAGACAATGCAAGATAGCAGTGTTTTGGAGCGTGGTAAATCTTGGCTTCTCTTTGAGTGGGTGGTTAAGAGTTAATGATTTCTAAGTAATCCATTTTGGGTAAAAGTTGTTCATGGTGAAAGCAACTTAAACCAGCACATTTACTTCAATGTAACTTATTCATGCATGAATATAAGTTTCAACATATTTCAGTATTTTTAAAGGTATTTAGCCCATGGTATATCAGGCAAAGGAGGGGGGACATGATGGTTAACAAGAATTTGAAAAACTGCTGCGCACACACATTTTAAATCAATAAAATAGTTGCTAATACTTTTTATTAAAGAGTATTCTCCAGTCCAAACTTTTTGCCTCAATTGGACCAGAATTAGAGGCAGTAGTTAACAGGTCTGACACATTCGGCACATTCGTATTTTCCAGCTTTGGCACTAAGGTCAGGAAACTAGGGATGTTAAATTGTGGGTAATTAGCTAATCAAGAAGTCAACAAAATTTCCATTGACTACTCGATTAGTTGAAAAGGGGAGAAAACTGCAGAGCCAGGACAGGGTTAGCCCTCAGGCTCTTTATACATTTAAAAAGCAGAGGCTTATCAGGTAGTCGACTAGTCACTTACATCCGTACATGAAACATTGCAAACATTTTTGCCACAAGAAAATGATTGAGCAACTCTGCAAAGGAGAAAATGGGACGAAAGGAAAATCTCCCTCTGCTGGGAGCCAACCATGGCTTTGGCCTCGGGATTATTTTAAAAAAGGAAAGGAAAGGAAAACTTTAATGCAACGCAGCAGGAGTTTCGAAGGAGTCTGCCACATTCCAAAGAGAGAAGCAAGGGGGTATAGCAGACAGGGCAGGAGAAAGGGGGCTGTGGCCAAAAGGAAGAAGGGAGGGGAAAAAAGGGGGACCAAGCTGGGGAGAGGCTGGGCTGAAAGTGGCAGAGCAGTGACTCCAGTCTTGTCCTCTCACCCCATCCCAGCCGCCTGGGTAGTGGTGGCCCATGCTCAGTCCGGGCCACCCTATCAGGAGGTTCCAAACCAGCCTCCACGGTTTAGGGCCATATGGCCCAGCCACCCCCAGAGCATCCCTTCCCCAAGAGCAGCCACAGAGCAAGAACCAGGGTCAGCTTCACCGCGGCTCGGCTCCAACCACAGCACACCCAGCTGCCCACAGCGTCACTCACCGAGGTCGGGTGGGAGGACAATTTTGTGCATGCATGCAGGCATGCATCTTATAGGGAATGAAGGTCCCCAGCAGGCAGAGGTTATTAGCAGCTAGGGGCATGGCCTGGCAGGGTGCTGCGGCCCAGCAAGCAGGGGTGTGAAGCCCTGGTCCGTGGACTGGTGGTCGGGAACTGCTGATCTAAAGCACAGCAGCAGGGACCAGACAAAGCACAGAGGAAACAACATCACAGCTTTGCATTAAGATATGTTTCAGAGAAGATACAGGTTAGCCTGGAGAAAAATATAGATTTGAAATAGTTCTTAAATACCTGAGTGGTCTTTTGACTCTGGAAAGAGAGTCAATGAGACAACTCACATGAGGAAAGAGTACAATATGAAGTCCTCATAGCTTCATGTCTCTCACAATTCTACTACTGTTTTCAGGTAAGAGAAAAAGAAAAAATTAATCATGAATATGTTTTCTGTAAATCCAAATGAATTTGGGACTCACTCCACAAATTTCCGGAAATATTCACATCCCCTTGAAGCTAAAATCATTATCTGGAAGCATCAAGTGTGACTTTGGAGACTCCAAACTGCAACAGCATCTGGCTATAAAACCAACAAAATTAGGGCAGGGTCAAGATTCTCATTAAGCCAGTAAACTGGGTTATTTGTTCAGACATCAATAAGTGGCTTTTTAAAGAAGTGCATTTCCTAATTGCAAGACCACAAACAATGGAAGATCCTTGCAATTTTTAGGGAAAAATATCCTTTTTTGGCAGAATGGTGAACATAGAGCTATAGATCTTATGGCTTGGCAAACCCCCTTTATACCAAAGATGGTGATATGTCATGACCTTCAGAACCCATAGATCCTATTCCTAAATCAGGGATATAGCAGAGTAGCAGGCAGGGACAATGGCCAGATAAGGAAAGAAAATCTGTGATTCAACGTAACACATTATATTGATGACAATCATTGTAGAGCAAGTTTAACATACAACACTGCAGTGCTTAGTAAAGTGTAACCTACACCAACATGAGAGCGTCTCATCTCCCATAGGTGTAGGCGTAGACACTCCAATTCCCCAAGGGGCAGTAGGCTCAGTCACCAGAAGCTCTTCTGCGGCACACTGCAGTACACAACACGATTGAAGTCAGTACAATTGCATTGCTCATGGCTGTGGATTTGTCACACCTGAGTGACTCAGCGATAGCCAGATTCTTAATGCAAAGAAGTTTTGTTTTTCTTCATTTAAGTCATTGCTCTGGGGTGGGGCTAGAGATGAAAGCGTGCAGACTGCTGCAGGGAGAGGGGCCTTCTACCACCCAGCCTTCTACCACTGCAGCAGCTTAGGGATAGGTGAGAAGCACGTGTCCAAGGCCGCTGCAGCAGGCAGTCAATGGAAGGTTGGACAGACAGACAGACAGACTTGCTCAAATATATAGTAGATAACTGTCTCTTTCACCATCCCTGCTCCCTACTGCCCAAATGGGTTTAGAGCAGTCCTGGTCCTCAACTCTGGCCCCATGCTGCCCCCCCCCTGTAGTTATTCAGGATACCAGAGCCCTCCCCTTCTGTTTTATGAGAAATAATGGCATTCCAGCCACATCCCATTGTCCTCTACTATAACCCTGGTTTAGGAATACGATCTATGGGCTCTAAAGGTCATGGCATATCAACAGCTTTAGTATAAAGGGAGTTTGCCAGGTGTGAGAGCTATACTTCTTGCTCTCCCATCCTGAATAAAAGATTTCCCCCCTAAAAAATGAAACCCTTACTTTGCTTTAAAGTTATGATACGAGGAAGCTGGATACTGAATTTGGTGGTCCTGGCACTTACCATTTAGGAGAAGTTCTTGAACAGATGGACAGACTGACCAAACAACAAACTCTCAACTATATAGTAGGTAAGTCTGTGTGCAGACCAAGTCTAAGTACTCACGCTCTCTTCTCTCTCTCTCACACACTTACTTCAGACTGTTCAAAATCTATTTGTGTGTACGAGATCAACTCCCATGACCAAGTTCAGAGAATTAAATGGTGTTTTCCGAAAGTCAAACCATTTTCCAAACTATTGCTTCAAACCTGTTATTTTAGTATCAATAAGCAAAATATTAGGGAGCTAAAAAACTCACTGCGGTCTGTGCTCTGGAGGAGCAGTAACGGTGTTTATCCAAACAGACTGGGGCAAGTGTTGTTAGGACAATGACAACAGGAGTGGGATAAAGCCTTTGGTTCAGTGTATTAAGAACTGAGCTGTTCTTAAGTGTACGTACAGATATGGACTGAGCTGTTCTGCTAATAGCAAAAGCCTTCAAGCCTTCTGTACAATGAAAACTTGGGAAGAAACAAAAGAAGAAAATTCTCTTCTGCACCTTTTCAGATGTTCTGATTTGTTCTGAGTTTTTAAAATGAAATTTCATTTAAAATCTAAGAAACATTTTCAAATAAAATAACTACAGCTCCTGTTACCCACAAAGCGATTGAACTGTAAGTCACCCATTTCTCCCATGCCTTTTAAAACAAATAATTATGGCCCAAGAAGAAGGGCAGTTACATATCACTGATAGATTTCTAAACTCACACTTAATACCACACGTACAATACCCAGCTGTGTTACAAATATGAACTCCTCCAGGGATCCTCGGAGTTACAAACTAAAATCATTTAATTGTTAAGAAAAATCTTAACACAATTAAAAAGATACACATACTCTTCAGTAAAAGAATACCTGGGGTAACAAACTAGTAGTGTGTATGCTATTTTTTTCTTTAAAAGATTCTATACAACAGCACCATATGCAGGGGCTTGGGCACAAGGTCTGGGTTTTTTTAAACAGCTCTGGGTCCTTTGTCCCTATCTTAAAGTCAACTCAGAAAATGTAACATTTCAGACTGAGTTACAGAGCAGCCTCAAGCTCCAAAAAGGATCATGTCTCATAGATCAGTCATGGTCGTTTGGACAGCATAACCAATGGCATCACTATGAATTCCTGAATTCTTCACATTGCGCTCATGGACAAAAGCAGTGTAGTGTCTATCCGCAGAGTGGGTCGAGGACGGGGCCCATGCGTTCCACACACTTCCACCATGTTGACAGCGGTCGGCAGCATCAAGGGGCCTGGATCATTGGGGATTGGGAGGGGGCACAGTTAGTAATTAGCAATGGAAGGAGAGGGGAGCAAAGGACAGTAGGTGGTGAAAGGAAGGGAGGGAAGGAAGAATGATGTGATAAAAGAGAGCAATAAGAAAGAACTAAATTGCTAAAATTGCTGAATGGCAAATGCCTAGTAAAGGAAGTGTGTAAGGTCATACAATAAGATTACTAAAATGTCAAATTAACCCCTTCATTGCTGCTGCAAGATTGTGTATGTTGTTCTTTAAAAACTTCAAAATGGAAACTCAAGACTTGTTACACTCATAACTTACATATTACAGATGTTATCCCCATTTTACTGATGGGAAAACAGGCAAAGACAAGAAGGACTACATCTTGAAAAAACAGTGCTTTACATATTCAGCAGCATTAAAAGGGCTTGAATGACATTTCTCAATGCACAATGGAAACAAACTACTACATGCAACAGGAAGGTTCAAAGATTAAAAAAGGCAGATTCTCAAGGCAAATGAAAAGAGGGGAAAAGGAAGAAAAACTATATAATAAAAACAAGCTTTATAGTGAAAAGGGGGAACACTGCAGCACATCTCACATTTCATTAGAATTAGTCATTACTGAAGCACCTGATCATAGCTGTACATGATAACTTGAATATGACAGGAGGTTAATTATTTTAGGAAATGGCCAACACCTGGTCTTCCAATTTGTTTGCTAAATGTACAAGATAATTTTGTATGTTAATATAAAAAGGCAGTATAACAAAAAAGTGACTGTAGATAGCAAGTGTTAATGCATTCCACACTGGGAATAAAGCCCTCAAGAGGTCAGGAAGAAAAAACTAACAGGGTGCCACACTATTCCTGACATTAATATATTTATGCATGTCTCAAGCAATTCTTCTGCAGCAAACAGTTAGGACTTGGGATAAATAACTTGCTCCACTGAAACAGACATCTGCATGATATGATTTTAGAATTAAGCATTTTCTTACAAACAGCTTCAAGATGGAAAAATGAACACAAGAGACTGCTCCAGAATGGTTCTCTCTAACCGATTCAGAACCCTTCATTATAATGGTTTACATGAGAGGCTGAAGTAAACTTCTGTTAAACGTGCTCCCAAAAAACAAGCTCTCTTTCTCCAAGCTATTCAAGGGAGCAAATTCCTAAAATATCCTCCTTTAAATATGGTAATTTTAGATTCAGTCATTTAGTTTAACCATAAACAAGTGGATCATCAGATACAGCTACAAAGTGTTCAGATTTCATCAGTTCTCAAGTCCCACTAAGGGTAGCTTAATACTTTTAACCACATCAAACAATCGAGCAGGCAGAACACTAGCTAGAAGATCACATTAGCCAAGGAAGCAGAAAGAAACATGCAGGATTCATAAGGGGAAAAGACAGTCCTCCTTTAGAAAGAAGATTTGCCTGACATTCACTCGCAGGTGCTCAGAATTTTGTTCTTCACAATTCATATTGTGAAGAAATGGCATATGAGGTCCAAAGAATAAAAAAAAGCTATCAAATGGTTTATTTTTAAGTTACTCCTAATTTTCAACATTTAAGAAACCAAGCGAAAAGCTGCTCATGGTAACTGGCAGTAAGACATGTATGTGCTCCATGACAGGTAAATAGAGTTGCTAACCTACTATTGCGCCTGTCTCCATTTTATCCCAGAGGTATAAGTCCAGCACAAAGCTAGAAAGATGCTGCTTGTGTTTGGGGACCTCCAGTTTTGCAGCAAGTACTGTTTTCATTGTTTGATGGTTACTGTTGTATTTGTATGGCCAAAAGGGTGAAGAAACCGCTTTTGTTATTGAGGAATTTAAACCATGAAGCAGAGAATTTCAAATCAGAAAAGAGAACGCTGAAAATCCTCCTTATGATCTGGCTCATTTTTACTGACACCTGCAAAGTCCAATTTTAAAATTAAAGGAAGGGCTGTTACAGAGCCAGTAGAGGTATCAGCAAGGAACACCACCCAGAAATGTACAGGTTAGATCCTTTATCCTAACCCCTTCATCCCCACCAACACTATAAAAAAAACCCTGAAATATTTCTGTCTTTTCAGCTATCCATGGACATTATCTTTCAAAAAGATGGACTGTTTTTCTGTGACAGAAGCCAAAGCCAGTTCATGCAGAAAAAGGACAATTTAAGGCAGAGGGCAGCTTAGAAAGATAAACCATTAGCTGCAACAAGACACCAAGCTAAGTCACAGCCCTTCAACTAGACACATACATTCCTGCAATGCATCCACCTACCCTGTGAAACCTGAATGCAGCACACATGGTTGACAACACAGCTCCAAACTGTTCTTTGTTTCTCTATTTTGAGGCTGAGTTAATCCCTTACCACAGCAAGTAGAACGACTGCTAGCTAACCATGTTAAAACCACATTTCCAGGAAAAAAAAACTGCCAACAATATTTTATATATAAAACACACAAAAATGTTATTTTCTTCTGAGTGAATATTAAAACAGTGTCAAGTAGGAATGGATGTTTTCTTGGGCTATGTTACAGTAGGTAACAGGCAGGTAAATTTTATATCCAACCACCCTCTTTTCCAGACAAACCTTCCACAGCTGAATCTAGCAAAGAAGCCTAGATTTCCTGACAATGTCTGTCAGCAACACAGGCTCAGGATCTTAATCCTAACACAGGCACACTGGGATCAAAACTGCCACAGATGGGCCTGCAAGTTCTCTCAGCTTCTGAACAGAAGTAGTGGAACTTGTAACGTTCAACAGAAGCCTTAATACTGCTATGTAACATTATTGCTTCCAACAGAAACACCTACGTAGAGCTGTTTGGAGCTGGAGTCAAATGTTCCGAACAAAGAAGTTACCAGATTCTAGCAAGCACCTTGCAGTTAGACTGAGTAAATACAAAACAAAATCATACTGAGAAGTCCGAAAGAATAAAGATACAACCACCTTTCACCCACCACCACCACCAAGGGGAGGAATCGATCGATCAACGAGATCACCAGACAACCTAGAGATTTCAGATACTAGGCAAATCAAGGGTAAAAGAAAAAGAGAAAGCACCATTTCATCAAACGTTTTGAAGCAGAGATACAATGCAGCACATGCAGAGCAGAATTAACCTCTCTCTTTAAATCCAAGATCCAATATATTTAAAAAAACGTAATATGTAATTAGATTAGTAGAATGCATTCCTTTGTATCAGTGTTGTCAGATAACCATGGTTTTGTTTTTGAGAGACACAAGAGAAATAGAATAAGATTCTAGCCAAATGGAGGACCTTTTGAAGAGTGAAACCGCTTAGGATAAGAGCTTTAAATGCATTGCATCCCATCACAGCTGCTCCTCAAAGTCTAACAAATCAGAGCTTCCCTTCTGAGATTACTGCAGCCCCCTTTGAAGTCACAGCCCACCCTACAGAATACGATGGGCTTAAAGACTGAGAGCTACAATCTGAATCTTGCTACACACCCAATTCTGGAGCACCAAGAGCAGACATTTTAATTAAAATGAAATCACGCTCTTATCTTCAACCATTTCAGTTTCCCCAAACAAACTCTCTGCACTGCAGAGTCACATAGCTGAATCAGTTTGCCTACTTCATAAGGTTTTTGGGAGACTTCCAGAAAGAGCTTGGATTTATGATTTTCACATTTTCCCCAGGATCTAGGCAGTCATTCACTAATCTCTGCTCCTAGTCCACATGCCTCCATGTTCTGGGTTACAGAGACTATGTTGACTGAAAAGGGTGGAACATCTCCCACTAGAGATAGAAAATGGTCCAGCAGATTCCTCCATTACAAATAGCAGCAAAGGTTCCCTCAGAAGCTAAGCAGGTTGCCATAGCTTTACACCCAGCCTACTCTCAAAGCACTGACCCAGCTTCATCACCACTAATCTGGCCCACAATTTATTCTTGCCAAAACACTATACAAGTAGTTTAACAGGAGCTTAACTAACAAAACGGGTTTTCAAAGAAAAACTAGCAAGGGTCTGTAGAACGCACCATTTCTTGTCTTGCAGGCTGGCTCCAGGGCTCCTAGGAAGGTTTTCTATTTCCACTAAGACTGGGCCCGATGAAACTGTCATGACAGGCAGGGTCGGCTTTGCATTCCAGCTCTTGGGAAACAAAAACACAAGCAAATCATCTTAGATGCTTTCCTACATGACACCACCATATGGAAAAACAAAACTCCTCCTCCTGCCCAAACATGAGGCTTGACAAGAATTCTCCTGTAGATACTTTCCTCCATTGGAGATGCATGTCCCGCTTTTCAAGTGCCAGTAACATAGAGCTCATGCAGGATACAGCACTGTTCTTGGATTTGCACAGGCACCAGCTACAGCTCCCTTTTTCATTCCTGGTTTGACTTGGATTCATTAACTGTTCCCTTCTGTGACTACCCAAAAGCTAGATTATTGCAATTCATCTACCCCCGAGTAAGCACCTGAAGCATCAGATGGTGCTGAATGAAGCAGCTCAGAGAGTAAGTGGAATAAGTCGTTATGAACACAGAGCACCAACACAAAATTTGCTTCCAGGTGAGGCTGAAGAAATTATACTTTTAGTGGTCTAGAACAGCGGTTCTCAAACTTTTTGGGTTCCGGAGCCCTTTACATACGTAAAAATTTATGCGGCACCCCAGCAGCCCACTGATCGTATGTATTGTACCTATCGACATTTCCAGTTTGTCAACCTCATGGAGCCCCTGGAGATGCCTCGTGGAGCCCTGGGGCTCCGTGGAGCACAGTTTGAGAAACACTGGCCTAGAAGATCACCCCCAATAGCGATCTGTCTGTGGTATCCTGCTCTGTTGTACTGCCTGGCTGCCCCTTCGGCTGACTTACTCCAGAACAGGTGGCAAGGCATTCCCATTAAAAAGCCCATGCATCTGGAACCTGACCTCTCTGATGTATCATTCTAGTAACTGGAGAAGGCTGTTTTGGCAATGGTTGTTTTCAGTGACACACAGCACCTACTACACACAAATGCGGAGGGGATGAATGCATCAAAACTTTTATTCAACGCACACAATATTAGATTTTGCCAGTAATTTATTCTTGATGTAACAGAAGTACATTGCCCTTACAAAATACTAGAGCAATAGTGCAGAACACTGGTAATAGATGGAAGCAAAACTACCAGAAGGCTCTGCCCCTCCTATGTATGCAGTGTAGCATACAGATCATTAGTATAGTTTTGCCAATTACTATCGTACTCAAAGATCATACATAGCTAATCGTTTTATGTACAGTTTGTTTACATGGTGGTGGTGTGAGGAAATCTAGAAAAAACTCTCCATGCCAATGATCCCACTTGTCACTGTGTAGCTAAAATAAAGAGTCTAGTTGAACGTGTGACTCAGCAATAGGTAACTGGGCTAGTCAGTGAGCTGCATGAGTGGCCTACCATCGCAGAGGTCCACAAGACCGTGGTAACTGAGATGGTCTCCTGGGATAGGGTAGTTTTGCTAACTGTGTTTGCGTACCTAGAATTTGCACATGTGCTGTATGAATTGTAGCGACACTTGGATTGGATGCAGAGCTCAGCAAGACTCTCACAGTCAATGTGTGCAATCAGCATGCACCTCACTTCATGGGTCCTTGCTTTACATGGGTATCACTTTAGTAATACTAGGGATGTAAAGAGTCATTTTAAAATCTTAGCGGATTCACGGTTACACATGCTGCAGGCTTTTCAGCATAAAGCTTAGCTTTGTATTGCAGAGCCCACAGCGAAGCCTTACCAGAAGCGGGCTGTTAGCTCGTGTAACTTGCAGCATGAGGGGGAAGGGACGGAGGCGGTTGGCTGGCATGGACGGGGGTTGCTCCAGCCCCTACTGGTTAACCAGAATCAGTAAGACTTACCCATTAAGGGTGAGACTTTCTGGTTAACCTTTTACATCCCTAATTAGGATTAAGGATCTAACCTATTCATTTCTGGATGGTGGTCCTTGCTGTTACCCCTACTGGCTATATAACAGCTCTTCCTTTAATTTAAAACTGGACTTTTGTTCTGACAGACCAGCAGGGGAAGTGGGAGAAGCCAGCCTAGTGTGCTGCATATTTGTCCTGCCACCAGCCTTGAACACCTATCCCCATCGGGCAGTGGGCAAACACTGATCTGACAAGCAGCAGGACCTACCAATACTTATGGGAGAGAGAGCGGGGAAGACAGAAAATACAGGATAATTTGCCTGTTTTTCAGAAAAAGTTAAGACACCCGCGGGGGAGAAAGGGAGCCTTAAATATGGGGCTTTCCCTTTAGAATGGGACATCCAGTCACTCTAGTCAAAGGAAGCTACTGCATGTAAAAAGGTAAGCACAAGGCTGCAACCCTGAAACCTGTGAAGACCTACGATGCTTTGGTATTTACAGAAAAAATCTCAGAAATGAATGACTTAGAGATTGCCTTACTTGTGATCCATTATTTTGATTTAAGACGTTGTTTGGAATGCTGAAAAGCAAGAAAAATTTAAGTCAGAATCTTTCAGGGATCAAAATAAATGTTTATAAATGTTGTGGGGAATCAAAAATCAGACTGATTTCAAGTACAATACCAATTCATTAGAGGTCTTTCGATTGCATTCAATATAAAAATCACTATCCAAAGAAAGTTAAAAACTCTACACTTGCAGTCAGCAATAGGGACGTGGAAGGGTAACCGGTTACCTGGTAAGCATCACCCCCGTCTCCCCTGCCTGGCCCTATTCAATAAGTTAACTGGTTAAACTTAATGTTTAGCAAGTTAACTAATTAAACTGGATGTTACATTCCTAGCCAGCAACCTCATTCCAAGGAGAGCAGGGCTACCAGACTCCCAGTTGATTCAGGCTAGAGTTTCACTATACGCGGTCTCACATTTTCCCTTCACATTGCATCTTGTCTAGTTGGATTACATGAAATCCCCTTAATGAAAGGAGGACACTAAGCAGGCATGCCTTTTAACCCTTAATGCAATTTTTGCATATACTGAACTTAAACATTCAACACAAGACAGATGGGGAAAATATCTTTCTTATTCATTACGGTCATATGTTCCTGGTATAACTTTGGACAGAAAATGGCTGAGATTGCAGAACTGCTATTATGTGAAGCCTCATGAAGTTGCTTGGAAGGAAGGTTCTAAAGCAATGATTCACACTGTTTACAAGGCTACTCTCCCTAGAAGCACCAGAACTCAGAATCTTCTAACCCCAATCAGATATTCAAAAATAATGAGTCGGGCTATCAAAAACATGAGTTGTTTCTGATTTCGGAATCAGTAGCGTGTGCACGTCAAATTTTAGGCCTTCTTCACAATTATAAGGGATAGAAACGTTATATGTAAATGAAAGCTGATACTCAAGTATTCACGACTCTAAGAGCAGGGACGTTAGGAAAAGCCACCAAATATCCTTGGAGATAACAACGCTGACTCCAATGCATTTAAACGTGAGAATCCAAATGTGTTCCCCCTCTAACCTTCTTCACTAGATAGATGGCAGCTGCAATGAAGGGATGTTAGCTATTATGTAACAGAACAGTTGTGTAACCGCGCAAAATATTATTGGTTACATGACTATTTGATAGTCCCTGGCAGCAGGGCCAGCCGTCAGTGTGCTCCCAGCTCCACTCCCAGGGAGTCCCGTGTCACCCTGTGCTACTGCCTATCTATCAGAGGCAGCAGTACGAGGTGGCAGGTGGAGCCAGTCTGTGAGGGGAGCCAATTTAAAAACCAGCTCTGCTTGCAGACTGGCTGTCTGCTGCCCTCTGTCCATGGAGGGCCCTGAGGTGGCTCCTCATAGGGACAAGCTCCTGCTCCCCCGCTTGGGGAGGGGAAGTATGTGTAGTCAATGAGATTAACCGATAAGTCTAGGCTTACTGATTAATCATATAGTCGACTACACGTTGACATCCCTAGAGGGGATGCTGAAGGAATTAAGGGGGCTGTCTCATAGGTTTTCCTCACATGCTAGTTATGGCACAGAAAGACATGGAATAGAAAAACACTATAATACACATATACATGCCATTATGGATTATAACCAAAAATGATAAGAGTTGGTCTAAAAGAAGCGTCTTTTCCAATTTTCCATTTTAAAAAAGCTTCACCCAGGTTTTATTAATTCAATTAATGCCCAGTTGCTTCTGGCCTGGGACAACTGCTATCATTTGCATAAAGCAGCGATACTGTGAGCCTGCTGAGCAAACTAGTTTCGATATTTCTGAAGTCCTTTTAATGCAGTAGTCCTGTAGGTATAACACCACCACCAAAGAAGTTGCACTCTGGCTGTTCTCTCACCACACTCTCTGAATGAGAAGTGCAGAACAGTGTTACAGGCACAGAGTACTGCACCTTTAAAAAATACTGAGGAGTGCTTGTACAAGCAAACACATTCTTCACCAATGAGTTAACACAAAAGAAAGGAACAACATGCATCTTTCATGATGCATTTTAATTAGTGAAGCTTGAGTGTGCAGTTTCAGAAACAGCACTGATTGCTCTGGGAGTGAATGTGCCATGACAACACCAAGATGAGTATCAGAAAAACTAAAGCCTTCATCACTGGCAGGCAAGGAAATTGTAGTGAGCTCCTCTTCCTACACCCAGCCTGGTTTCAACCTGAGATTCAAGTAAAACAGCATACTAACAAAATGTGAAGAGCAATTATTAGCACTAATAAATAAGCTACACATCTAACGTCCCATCAGAGGATTTCAAAGCCCTTTGCAGACTTTAATTAAATTTTCCAATATCCTCCATCACTAGGATCAATATTAACCTCATTATACAGATGGACAGCCCTTTAACCAAATATTACTAAAACCCTGTCCATCCAGATGGAACAAAAGCAAACTTTGCTCTCTGAAATCTATCAGCTTCCTTGTCACTTTCACTTCAACCTGCTCTCCGTGACTTCCTATCTACACAGGCACTTCCTCCAGTTTGGTCTTCAGTTGCTATTACTCTTCATATCTTGAAGGAAGAAGGGATCTCTCTCCCCACCCAGCAGTGGCCAGTGTAGCTTAGTGGTTCTTAACTTTTCCTGACTACTATATCCCTTTCAGGAGTCTGAAACCTGACCCTGCTGCTTGGGACTCAAGCATTTAAGGGTACCGTCTAATACGCCGACAGCTTTTAGCAACACAGCTATGTCAACACAACCATGTCACTAAGAGTCAGGCAATGTAAACACTGCTGTTAGCACTTTTGCCAACACCCCCAAAAGCTTTTGTTTGGGGCAGAGGGGGGGTGGGAAGAAGGGGGAGTGTTTAAGCACTCATGAACAACAACAGCTCTGTTGTTCAATTGCCAGTGTAGACAAAGCCTAACTTACCTTCCTGGGCCCCTGTGGTGTGGGGCTCTGGGAAACTGCCCTACTTGCCACCCCCTAACGATGGCCCTGAATGTTTGACCGCCCGATGCCCAAATTTATTCTGCAACCGCCAGGTTGAAAAACCCTGATCTAGGTGAGCTGACGTACCCCTTTCAAGACCTCTGTGTATCCCCAGTGTACTGCTTGTTAAGAGCCACTGGTGGAAGTGGTTTTCATACCATTCAAGTCTCAGCTTCAAACACCCCAACTTCCTCCTTGCTGTGACATACCATTTATTCAAAACGCCTATCCTTTCTCCAACACAAATTTTCTTTACAAACTCTTCCCTCTCTTCCAATCCTACTTTCACCCTGTTTTCTTTTAGCATTCCTGACACAGCATGCATTTACACTTTTACAGATTGTAAATTTCACCTGCCTCTACACACTGAAGTTGCCAGATCAAATATCCCTCAGCATCAGTGATTACTGAACAGCTGAGAATAAAAAAACAGCTCTCAACAAAACATACTGAGGATTTTATTATGTTTTTAAATCTCATGTAATACTTGGACAGCGGGATTTTAATAGGTGGCTGTCAGGCCAGGGAAGTGACAGCATTCACCCATGGTTTCTCATCTCTGCTCTACCCATTCAGTCCCAGCTACTAGTGCCTCCTAATGGGCTAGATTTGCATGGAGTTATTAAATGAAACCCAACTAAAAAGCAGGGTAGAATGTCCAGGAACAGGAAGAAACAGAAGAAAAATGAGGTCATTCCAGTCACTCTGAAACACTACATTCAATGAGCTAAACAAACCTAATCCCCCTTGCGTCATGGAAGAAAAGCCAATAGCTTGTTTTAGTCGCCCTCAAAAGGAATATGTTTTTGGCACTGGAAACAGATGATGCTCCTATGGAATGTTATTATACAGGAGGCACTGTGGAGAGAAGAATGACCTGCCAGCCTCATACTGGAAAATATCCCAGGCTATGTACCATGGGAAGTGGAGTGCAAGTACACTGATGTGCTTGAGCAAGTTAATTGTATTTATAAACGTATGAGACCTTAAGCACTGGAGTATTCATACCCTACACAATACTAAACTGATCTCTGTACAAAATAAGTCTTGTGAGGGATCATCTAAAAACTAATATTTCACTGACCATTTATATTCTTGCGTAATGCACAAAGTTTGTATTAAGAGTTATGGCTGCATGTTGGAATTATAACTCAAGTGTGTTTAAATTGAGGATATCGGAGGAGCTGGTAACCTGATCTCCCTAAGACAAAGGAACGTGTACTTGATCCTCTGACTAGCCCGATTTTCAGGCAAGACAATGAAGGTCTGTTTTTTTACACGGTGCGTAAACAAAACTATAAAGCTAACAAGTGGGGGGAAGAAAGAGCATGGAGCTTCCTTCACTTACAGACTCCTCACAGCCTGCATAAACTTTATTTTGAGCATAGCCCTCAGAAAAATCACCTTTCCAAGACATACTGGTGTACAAAGATAGCAGGCTGGGGGTGATGGAGGAGGGTGTGCTGAACCTCAACTGTCTCAATTAATAGTATGCAATATTACAGTATTATAAAAGTATACAGAGGTCAGGTCTTCTCTGGAACAAATGACAATGGCAATGTCAATAAATATCATTGTAAAAATTTAATTATATAAAGAAATGTAATGGGATAAACTAGTCCCGGAGACCTCCTTCTAGAGGCATTGTGGTCCTGCTACACCCTACTCCAGAAAAAGAGCAGTAGAGAGGTCCTCCAAGCAGGCTAGAGTGGCTGCAGGGGAAGCAGCCAATCAGGGCCAGGAAGGCCAAATAAAAGGTTCTGCAAAACAGAACAGCAGTTAGATGCTGCAAGGAGCAAAAACTGGGTGACTGGCTGGCTAGCTAGAAGAGTAGCAGTTCTGCTGACAGCTCAGTGTAGGGAGCGCATGGCAAGAACCCTGAGGTAAGGGTGAAGACAGCGCAGGGCCATGGGGGAAGTGGCTCTGGGAATTAGAGCAGCATAGGAACAGACATAGAAGACAGCTATTACCTACACCGTCCCTGGGCTGGGGCCCTGTGTTAGGGGTGGCACTGGGTCCCCTGCACCTCCCATTAGTCGCTTGGGGAGGGCGGGGGAGAAATGACCTGTATCTTAAGAAATCGTAGAGGATGGGGAATTGGACCATAGTGAGCCAGCCAAAGGGTTGGAACCAGAAGAGCCCCTGAAAGGACAAAGATGTTGTCTCCAAGAAAGAAGCACTGGGAGGCACTGATCTATTCAAACAGAGGTGAAGGATAAGACTGAGGCACAGCCTCTCATTTTCAATCTATGCTCCCCAAGCAGAGTAGTTCTGGGAAGCTTTTAGCACTTGCTGGATCAAGTGCACACAGTCTGGCACAAAATTTGGTGTCTTGATCCAGCAAGGGTTACAAGCACTTCAGAAGTCCTGTGCATAGGCAGGGATAGGAAAACTGAGGGGTGTGCCTCAGACAGCTTTCCTTGTGACCCTTTCTGGCTGACAGAGCAAAATGCAGCCCCTAAACTGGAGGGCCTTTTATGGTAAGGCCTTTTATGCAAGGGAGAGAGGTGAGAATCATGTGAGTCCAAAGGCTTGCCACCTTTGGTGTACATTTTGCAACTCCTTTGGGTTGGCAACAAGGTGGTTGGCCCGTATGCATCTGGTGTCTTACTTTACAAGTTACAAGGATCTGAAGCCTGAAGCAGAGAAATGTCACATGAATGTTCACATCCACAAGGAACAAGTGCAAGGATACGCTACTGGTACAAGCTTTAGAAACGTGCATCACTACTACATTGATAATAAAATCCTGGAAGACCCCTTTCAAGAAGGAAGAGGAGGAATTTGAAGTAACGGAACAGGTTGATTTTTAAAGTGTAGAAAGAATTGGTAACTGGAGAATATCACTTACTAGAAGATTTACTCTGCATTAATCGGGTTCTTAACTCTAATACGTTTTGTTTTTCTTCATTTAAATCACTGTTCTGGGCTGGGGAAGAGGGGTTCAGTAGGAAGGCTGCCCCCGGAAGAGAAGACACTCCCAGCCTTCTCTCACTGTAGCAGTTTGGGCCCAGGCGAGAAGCACCTGTCCCTGGCTTCTGCAGCAGGCTCAGCCAGAGGGGTACACATCCGCCAGCTTGAGGACAGACACACAGACATTCTCTCTAAAATATATAGTTGTTCTGGTCCCTGTCTCTGGCCCCTTGCTGCCCTTCCCCACTCCCTCCCCCATGGCCATTCTGCAGTACAGTAGAGTCCCTATTACCCGACCTAAACGGGACCGACACATGGTCGGATTACCGAATATGTCGGATGATACTGAGTCTACTGTAGAGAGCAACGGAACAGCTGATGCCGCTCCTGCAGGGACGAAGCGTCCCCAGCACAGCAGTATCAGGGACAAAGCGTCCCCGGCAGAGCAGTATCAGCTGTTCCGTTGCTCTCTAGGAGCAGCTGCTGCTGCCAGGATGCTTCCAGGCAAGAGCAGCAGCAGCTTCTCCTAGAGAGCAAGGGAACAGGTGATGCCACTCCTGCCAGGATATCCGCCCCTGCAGGAGCGGCATCAGCTGTTCCCTTGCTCTCTAGGAGACGCTGCTGCTGCTGCCGCTCCTGCCCCTGCCTGGAAGCGTCCCAGCAGCAGCTGCTCCTAGAGAGCAACGGTACTGTTCTCCCTGCCTATGCTGTATCCCACCCTGCAGCTCCTGGGGAAAAGTCCCCGGGAGCTGGAGGGTCGGATAAAGCAGAGTGTCGGATTACTGGGTGTCAGTTAATCCGGACTCCACTGTATAAATATCCCTCCCGCCAGAATCCTCCCTTTCCATTTTATAAGAAACAATCAAATTCCAGACACATCCCATTTTTCTGGCACAACCAAACCCTGCCCTTGCTTTAAGTTCTGATAAGAGGAAGCAGCAAACCAAATTTGGTGGCCTTAGAGGTTACTGTTTAAGAGGAGTTCTTGAACAAACTGACTCTCAGACGGATGGACAGACACATTTCTAAAATGTATAGTAAGATTTATCTGTATTGCAGTAGTACTTAAGTCTCAGACATTGGGCAAGATTCTACTGAGCTAGATGTTGTCCAATGCAGAAGAAAATTATAGACTCACTT